ACCCACACCCACACCCACACCCACACCCATCCACACACACCTACACCCACACCCACACCCACACCCACACCCATCCACACACACCCACACCCACCCCCACACTCACACCCCACCCACACCCGCACCCACACCCACACCCCACCCACCCACACCCACACCCACCCACACCCACACCCATACCCACACCCCACAACCACACCCTTTCAAGGATAGACCAAACATTTCTCTATCGAATGTGTGAGTATGGGTGTGTGGACATGGATGTGTGGACAAAGAGAAGATTGAAACCCACACCCACACCATTATAAGATATCATTGTTTTCCTAAAAACTTATTTCCCTTTTGGAAAAAAATTCAATTCTGAATTTTCAAAAACCGGCTTCAGATTCAGATACTCCGACCTCGATTTGCTTTCATCAACCTTTCTAAAAAATCATTATTTTCTTAAAAAAGGTGTGGGTGTGGGTTTCAATCTTCTCTTTGTCCACACACACCCAAACCCGTACCCGCACCCTTATTCATGCAAAAGAAATTTCGCTATGTAACTATGATGCGCTCATGTATACAAATATCAGTGTACATTTTATCCTAGTAACAACAAGCAACCTAAAGGAAGGCAGAAAAGGAGAAAAAATATTGAAAAAACAACATACATCAGGTGAAGAACGAAATCATGAAAAATAACTGCCTACTTGATGAAAATGTCATGCACCATTGATTTATATAAACAAACGTAAGTAGAAAAAAATATCAAGTAAATTTGTCAACGGTAGATAAGGAGCAACAGTGATTGCAAGCATAGAAAAGAAAATTCGTACAAATCAGTATCTCTTATGAAGTGAGTATATTCAATTTTTTACATCAGTACACTAGTGGTAAAATTAAAACTGAATGTCAAGATTCGCTACAAAGAACACACAACCATGGGACCTGAAGATGAGACGTTTTAGTCACAAGAAGATAATTTCAAGAAAGCTTCGATTGAGGATGGTCAGCATATATAATCGATAACCTTGATTAATGTAGCTGTTATGCTTGCAATAGAGCTACCACAAGCCATATGACATAGAGGAACTTTTACAATGCCTACTCTTTTTACCGAGAACTGCAGTGGTGAAAGACATGGTTTTCACTGTTAGGACGCTCACAAAGCAATGAAAACACGATACTCTAATAGAGTAGAGATATCAATTTCTAATCAACTTCAACGTAATTCATATCGAAATTTAATTATCATTAAGTTAACTAGAAATTAGCTTTAAATTATTTTTTGTTTGTAATTCATGTTTAAAGGAAATCAAAATTTTAGGCAATTTAATATATTTTTAATATAAATTATACCAACTTTATTTACTTTTGAATGTAAATAATTTTATTTAATTTATAATTTATTAAATTATAAATTAAATAAAATTATTCTATTTCTTTGTGGTATTTCATCCCAGTCAGACGACTAGAATGTGGGTGCGGGTGTGGGTGTGAGTGTGTGTATTGGCGTGGGTATGAAGTGAGGGTGGGGGTGTGTGGGTGTGGGTATCTCGATGTATAGACATGCGCACACCCACACTCACACACACTCTGGGCCCCATTCGCGCGATTTGCATTTCATCCTACGAGAAGCTTGCAGAGATCATCCACTATTCTAACATCTTTATATGAATGATATTTGCAGAGAGAACATTTTGATGCTTCATTTTCGGTTCTAAGCTGTGTATTACTTTCTAACCGATCTATTCAATGCAGAAGTCTTCAACGGTTAGCATGTACCAGATAGACAAAAAGAATGACAGTCTCGGTATTTTCACAATAACTTCTTCAGTTTGCTGCCTTTCGAGCGAAGCTTATTTCCAAGACCTATTATACAATTCTATTCTAGATGCGCATCGATAAATATTCTGGAAAAACCTAAGAGCTGAAATTCAGACGTAGGTGAAGTTAGCTGCCGATTCGAGCATTTTCATCAGCGATTCGTCCAGAAACCTGTTCCGAGCGTTCCAATGCTTGTTCCAAGTACAACTAGACGAACTCTCCAATGGTATACTCAGATTTTTGATAGCTCAATGCATGATTTATAGAATACCACTAGCGCCATCTATCAGGCCAAAAATCATACTATGTTTTATCAAAAATGTGAGTAAACCATTGGATAGAGCTTGTCAAGTTGTATTTGAAACAATCATTAGAACGCTTGGAACAGATTACTGGCGAATTGCTGGTGGAAATACTTGAATCGGCTGCTAACTTCACCTATATGAAAAGCAGCTAAAATCTTCAGCATGCCATAAAGAACCAGCTTTTGAAGTTCACTGAAAAATTAAGAGTTTGAGAATGAAGGCTTTGTACTGCACTTTATCCTGATATGGTCTTTCAAAAACAAAATCAAATGTACAGAATTATGGACCATAGAGAAAGTTGGATAGGAACATAAGCTTTTGTTGGACCTTTTATAGTGAATATATTCCTCAAATGTCACGCTATAAGGCTGAAAGTTTTACCATAGTCTCTCCAATACAGTCCCCATATATTCTGAAAATGTCATGTTATTTGCATGTGCCTGAATCAAAGCCAGTTTTGGAAAAGAGTAGAACTGACCGTAAGTGTCTCGATACTTTTGCGAGTACTTGTACATATAGCGGTGGATGGGTCATCTACATAGCAGCTGTGTTTTTAGAATATATCAATGGTAAAACTTTGCTTCATTTTACAATGTATTGTTTCATCTGTGGTGATCGAGAATAGTAGATCTATCTCGAGTCCTCTAGCACCTTTTACCACATATAAACATTCAATTGAACTGCAGAAAGATGTAGCTGATCTCTGGTGGACAGTTGATGACAATGAACGAGAGATTATATTCGAACTTCACATTAATACGACAGGCTGGATTGCATTAGGTATTAGTCCAGGTAGGTTTTATGTTTCTATTAGATTTTTAACACTTAATTCATGATCTGATTGTATTCAGCGGGTGGCATGAACGGTGCTGATATCGGTGTAGGATGGGTCGATCAGATCGGCAGTGTATATTTTCAAGTAAAACAAATTTCTCTACTTTGTACTATATGATCTAACTTGTCTATCTCAAGGATCGCTATGCATCTGCCAATGGACGCCCTATGTTCGATAATACTACGATTGATTGGTTTGTTGTTCAAGGTCGTGAAGTGAGTGGATGGACAGCCATTCAATTCAAACGTTTATTAGATACTTGTGACAACATGGATGTTCCCATTAAGGTAATCTCATATGTTTTGAATTGAGGAAGTCGCTTCGACTACTGAATGGTATAGTGATGAGAATTCCACACAAACATATGCAAGTCCAAATCGAAAAAATTGCGAGTAAACTCACTATTGGTTGTGTCTGATAAGATATAGCTAGCTTGTTTCGGTGATGTCTCTTTACAAGACAAGTGACGAGGTGGGCTTCCACGAAATCGTATTATTAGGCGCAGTTAGAATCTAATGGCAATTGAAACACGCAAGTCTTGAATTTTTGAACTTGTAAGTATTTGGATTCGGGGCTCGGCGTGTTAACTTACTAAATCGAAGTGGTACCACTCATTAGTCGAAAAGATCATTCAAGTCAAAGCAATTTTACAATACTCGCATAGTAGCGGGTAATCTAGCTTTCTTTTTTACATATTCATGACGTATGTATTGAGTGCCAGTACAGTTCCGAGTAGTTCATACTGCTCGTTTTATTATAATCAATCGCTTCGTTCATTTCTATGTATTTAATCTATCAATATTTAGTCTGGCACTAATAATCTTATTTTTGCTTATGGCCTGGTCGATCCTATTCCATCAGGTCCAAATGGTGAAATTTCTTATCATGAAAATCGACGCGGTTCACGTACTCTTCCACTTCGATCATATGCTGATCCACCATCAGAAGATACATTTTCTGGACTTGACTACTTTGAATTTCGTTTGAATAATGTCTGTCACATCTCAATGTGTCATATAAGTCGTTAATCTTTGCACCGATTCCATCCTTTTTTTTTCAGTATGTGATTCCATCAACTGATACAACTTATCATTGTAAAATATACAAAGCATCAAGTAATTATTCAATGAAACGACACGCTATTGGTGTATGTATTATTTTCTTATAATAACTTTTAGTTTTCTCTCATTTTACATAGCATAAAACAATTGTTGATTCGGCCAATCGTGATCTTGTTCATCATTTACTCATGTATGAATGTGATCCAACAACTCAATTTGATGACAATAACTTGCCTGATGGTTTATGTAATACAATTTCTCAACAAATAACACCATGCGGATCTAATATTGCAACTGGTTGGGCTGTCGGTGGTGACTATGTAAGATGCAAAATATTTGCGAAGTAAAGTATATAAACAAAAAGAACCTATGTAAAATAGATGGTTCCATTTCCAAAAGAAGCTGGCTATCCAGTTGGAGGTGATTTTCCCATCAAATATTATATGGTTCAAATGCACTATGACAATCCAAATCTATTTTCGAGTATGAAACAGTATTTACATTGAATCAGAATTGACAAACAATTTTCGATATTTTATTAAGATCGTACAGACAGTTCAGGTATTCGCTTTTACATCGGCAAAGAACTTCGTCAATATGATCTTGGCTATTTGACGTTGGGTACTGATTCAATTGCTGCTGCTCTAGCTATTCCACCGAAAGTGGAGCGATTTATCGTCGATTCGTACTGCTCAGCAAATGTTACAATGGTAAGTATGAGTCTGTTTCTGTGTCTTGTCCAGAAAGTTCATTAGAAATATTTCTGTAGAATTTTCCTGAGGAGGGTATTACAGTTGTTTCTGCTTTTCCACATACACATTTTCAAGGTGAGTTTGAAATAACAAAGAAAACATGAGTTTGTTGGCAATGACAATGATTTTCGTAGGTCGAACAGTATGGACAAAATTGATTCGAAATAAAACAGCTGTACAATATTTATTCAATGCAGAAGCATATAATTTCAATTACCAATACGACAATCGTTTACCAAAACCGATTAAATTATATAGAGTAAGACATAATCAGATCGTTTCTCATTCGAGAATTGATGTTTCTCGTATAGGGTGATGAACTCGCTACAAGATGTATCTACAATACTATGGACAAGAATACGATCACTTTGGTAAGAAAGATTCGATGAGAAACTGCTTTTCTTATAGAGCGAAAAACGATCAGGAATCCACTTGATTGTTTTAGGGTGGTGAAAGAACCAAAGATGAAATGTGTCTTCATATGATGACATACTATCCTCGAATGAACAATATGTATGGTTGTACGATGAGAAATAATCCAGAAACATGGAGCTCAATGATGAACATTTCTTTGTCAGTTTGTTTTCATTGACAATTGGTTGTTACTTTTATTAATTTTTATTTAGATCGTCTTTCAATTCTTCAAAGTTAAAAGAGTGGCTTCTTAATCAAACATGGACACCAGAACGAGCTGTTCAATGGCAGGAATTCTACAATACAGCATCTCGCGTACTTGTTTATGGTGCAGCACCGAGTCGTCAGTACAACGTGATTCCCAGCTTACCCAAATATCAAGATTTCAAACCAGTTCCATGTACCAAAGATCAAACCATCAATCAAACTACGACGATACCTGGTCAAACTACTTCTAGCCAAAGTACAACGACAAATAAAGCTAGATCTTATATTTCAACACTTCGTCGAAACGTACTTGTTTTCCTGAATATGATTTTAATTGTGATGACCATCATATTTGACTAATGAAATTGATTGTCAAAAAAAAAAATTTCTTCATATGTATGTGGTTCGTAATTTTCGCTAATAAATGCACAACCACACAAATACAAGTTATATTGATGCAATAATCTTTGAAATGATCAATTCATTCTTTGTATCCAATTGATAGGCACAGTCTTGAGTACTCGAGATGCCGATTATTGTGCATTTTCATCAGTATATCATAGCAGTCAGAGATCGAAATCAATTCCAGTTAAAGTCCCTTCGTAACATAGCCAAGTTGAGTCAAAATTGTATGACTTGACAACACAGATGTCCGAAGTTGTTTTTTTCAAGTACATTTGCTCGATACTGATATAAAACTGGGTTGGCAAGGAAGTTTTTGCGTTTTTTTCGAAAACTTTCTTTTTATTTTCTAACCTCAAGAATACAACTAGCTTTCAGCAATGTATGCTCCATTACTATCTATGACTTGTCGCCAACGCTCTGGTAGAGAAAGAATCCTGCGTTCGTGGAAATCCTGGGACTTTTGGCCGAAGAAGTTGGCGAAGTCCATTTCGAGGTCGTTTTTGTCGTCGATGTTTTTCTCGCGAAAATGGTTAGAGAGAGAATGGAACAAAGGGCAGTCCGTAGGAGCCAAGTCTGGAGAATAAGGCGGATGTGGAACCGTAGCCCATCCAAACTCCAATAATTTTTCACGTGTCGATTTTGCAATGTGGGATCTGGTATTGTTATGCAATAAATAAAGTCTATCCTGCTTCCCTTGGAGTTTTGCTGCAATTTCCTCTAATTGCTAACAATAGAGATCAGCAGGGATGGTGCAACCAGCTGGAAGAAGTTTCCAATGAATAATCCCTCTTACTCCCCATCAGACGCTCACCATAATCTTCTTTGGGTGTTGCTACAGCTGTTTGTCCAGCTTCCAGCTGCTGTCGCTTGCGTGTGTGGTTAACATACAACACCTACTTTTCATCGCCGGGAATAAGAGGGTATGGGTGTGGGTATGGGTGTGTGGGTGTGGATGCAGTTAACACTCACACTCACACCCGCACCCCACCCCCACCGACGCCCACACTCACATCCACACCCCACACCCACACCGACACCCACATTCACACCCACACCCCACACCCACACCCACATCCCACCTATACCCATACCCACACCCACATCCACATCAAATGACAAGAAAGTTGATTATCAATTGTATGCTTGGGTGATATAGTATTTTCAGTATGTAATAGACAATAAATAAAGAGAATGACAAATCAAATACATCATGTAATAGCAAGGAGCAAAGAAAGAATATTAATAACAAATCATCAAATTTTGTTGTTTTTTTCGTGTTTAATGAGACGAATTTAGTTTCCTTCTTCTTCTTCTTCGACTTTTGTTTCAGCGTGTTGCAACCAACTAAAAAAATCTTTTGTTGACATTACAACAATGGCATGCCCTAAACGAAAGATATTTTTGATTGATTTATTTTTTTTATGCGAAATTTTTCTTTTACCTTCAGTTTCAGATTGATCTGGATGTTTCAGCCATTCAAAAAATGCATCCTTACTTACACATTCTTCATCATAGAATAGATCGAATAATAGTTGAGCCATTTCTATAACAAAAAACATATATATTTTTCCTAAAAGAATCACTAGATTGAATGAATTTCAAGGATATTTTCATGATTCATCTCTATTCAATGTCAAAAATAATTTTGAGATAAACTCTTTGCAAACATTTCTCGATATTTCACAGGAAACTTATGAGTTTAATGTTACGCATTCGATATTTGCAGCTTGTCTTTATATAGTAGACCAATGGAAGAAAAGTTCAATGTCTAGCTAATATATGTATTAATAAGTCGTGTTTATCGAGATTTCAATAAAAGACAGTGACAAAACATAATTTCAATAATAAATATTAATAATATCCTATCATATATATAGATAATTATCTTGATATTTATCTGTAAGACACCTTGTCTCATTAACAATCAAATGAAGCAGGAATTTCTATATGTTCGACAAAGTTTTATTCAGTTGAGAACAAAAAGGTGAAACCTAGCAATGTGAGTGTGGCCTGTCATCGTAGATATTTAGAATAACACCAACGCCGAACTTTCAAATTTCTGTCGTGATACTTTAACACTCATTTTAGATCTTGTTGCAAAGTATAGCCAATCTAAAGTTGAGACTACAGTTGAACTCCTGTATTTTGATTGATTAATGTTAGTTCTTCTCTATGCAGAATCAAATCAGTTCTGAACTCTTAAATCATATCGATATTAATTGAAAACAGAATAATTTAATTTAACAGAAGTAATCGTTATTTATTTCTCTCAATGATAATTCATATATAGACTTTACATTTATTGTCAACATACTCGGTGGGTGTTCAAGTTTAGTAACAAAATTTTGAATAGCATAAATGGTTTGAATTTCCCGTTCGGGTTTATGTTCAATAATGGCATTAAGTATGGTCATTCGTTTTTTTGCAATATCTTCTTGAATTTTCTTCTGTGGATCACGATTAATTAAACATGCTTCCAAATAAGATAAAACAATATTTCGAATATAAGATTTTCCATTTGGATCCATATGCTATTAAAATAAAAAGTAAAATGAGTATTAACTTCAAGAAAAATGACATTCAAACCTCGCGAATATAAGTGATTATTTCAGCATCAGTTGCTGTTCTACTTTGATCATTAACGGATGTAAATAATTGAACAAGTTGTGGATCGGTACGCGAAGAATGACTTTCTTTTGCTTGTTGTGCTGATTGTTCGATGTGAGGTGTATCAAATAGCCAATAATATTCATTTAAAAATGAAGAATCAATCATATCAGGTTTAAGTAAATCATTTAAAGAAAAGCCAGATGATTGCCAAAAGTTTTGTATACGTGTTTGAGACTAGAAATAATTCAGTATAATTGCTTTTTGGTATGAAAATCAATGGAAACCTCTCTGCAGATCTCCAACTGAATATCGGTTTTAAAGAATTTGTTTTTCTTATTATTACTAAGATCATGTTCTCATTATGATTGTGACTGAATTCGCTTTTGACAATATAAATCGTTAGGTACAGTCATTCTGAAAATATCAGTATTTGAGATGTGCAAGGACGAAACTACGAGAAAAAAGTTATTCCAATAGAAGCTCACAATTTTAGTTCAACTTTCTATGGTTTTTAATAAATTCATTTAGAAATTGAATGAATCAAAGCAAGATCCAAAAAACGAGATATTCGTGAGAGTAACCAAATATCGTCATGATGCAAATGTTTATCAGATTATTTGAATGAAATTCTATTGGCTAGTATAGAAAAATATTGATTGTCCCTAATGAAAAAATTGTAAAAGTTGTGTTGAATACGAAAAAAAACATGAAAAAATTTGATCAATTCAACAAAAATCATTGAAAACATTTTCTAGCAGAAAAACTCATTTCTATAGTCCTTATAGATTTAGTCATTGTGAACTAGAATGTGTTTTTCCCTGCTGAAAAATTCCGACGTTGATGGTGTAATCAGACAGAAACTGAGTATCCATCGTCTACAAACGATTGAGTTTTATACTGGATAATTGACTTGTGTTTTTGAACTTTTTTTCTGATATCGTCACTAGTAAATGTTTAAAAAGCATTCCCAATCACCTACTAGATTAGAGATGTATCAATTTAAACATACACGTTATAGACTAACGCTAATCTAAGATTGATTTTGATTTTAACCGAATAGTGAAGATCTTTTTCATGAATCTTTACAGAATATGACTCAACCATGAGAAAATGAACCTTTCTCGAACTCCTTGAGAAATTCATTATGATTGATTTTGCTCTATACCAAGAATGAAATCTGATAATGATTATGTTTAATATACTATCAAAGTTAAGAACCAAATTTTGAAATAAATCCTTGAGAAAGTCACCTATTTTTCATAGATAGAAAAAGAAATTATTTTACTGAAAATTCTTTTGCATAGAGAATTATGAATTGAAATAATTGTTTTGATTGATGATCAGGAACACACTCTAAAATTGGTTTAAGTAATGTTATGTTTGATGTAGAAGCACCGATAAATGCACCTTAAAAAACATAAACTATTTTTTCATTTTCTAAAACAATAAAAATTTACCAATAATTCCACCAATATATTGCCAAATTAAAGGAATGTCAGCAGCATAATCTGGTGCAGCTTTCACAATCATTTTAAAACTAAAAAAAAAGGAATTTCGTTTAATTCAATTTCAAAGAATTTATATATATATATACCCGGAAATAAAAGCTTCAGTAGATAACACATTATCATTAAGTGCAGCATCAAGTAAATGTCCAACAGCTTTACTAGCACATGGTTTAGCCTCCAATACATTTTTAAATAATTCTCGAACAATAATTGCTTGTTGATCAAGGTTTGGTATATAAAAAGCAGCTAAATCTTTTAAGGCTTCCTAAAATTTAAAAAAATAAAAATAATTTTCCTATCATAGTATATTGAATATTTACTTTAACAGATCGATCAGTTAAATCCGAATCATTTTCTGTATATTTATCAATAAGCGAATATATACGAGCTTCAATTTTTTCCTCATCCAATAGTGTAGATAAACTAGTAGTTGATATACTTTCACTAACATCTGATCCATTTGATGAATTACATGATTGTTCACAACTAATGTTATGTGAAACTTCACGAGAATTGATCATCAATGATGTACCAGTTATATTTATTGAACTATTTATTTCACTATCAGTTGTTGTTTTAAGTACTAATTGTGAAGCATTCTCATGATCATGTTGGCTATTTTCACTTGCTAATTCCTAAATAGAAAATTTCAATGAGTAAAACAAAACAAAACAAAGAATTCTCTTTTGTTGTTTTCTGTATCTTACATTTGAGAGTTGACCATGAATTGGATAAGGCGCACTACTTTGAGATGAGTCGATTTCCATTTTTAGTTGCTGAATAGGACCAGAAAGTGGTCTATCACTGCTAAATATAAGCAAAAAACAATAACAATCAAAGCTATTCCTTTGTGTTTTATTTCATTGAGGGACTTTGTAAAATAGAAAAATCATTTATGAGGAAATTTTCTCAACTTGAAAATTGATTTTAGACACAGTAAATGTAGCTTTGCTTTAGTCACTGAATGCAATATAGAATATCACATGTTTTCAGGGCGATAATTGAAATCTGATTACGCGTCTCACCCAATCAATATACTCATCAAAAAGTCCTCTTTCTATTTGGAAAATTGGTTTACTTTTGACAAAAAAAATGTGAAAAATCGTCCCCGGTTTTCCAACGTAGTGCGTCTCATTGAGCTGAAACTTTTTCTACTTGTACTAAATAGCATCTAGGATGCCGAATATTTAACAATGTCTAGTATTAGTTAAAAACTTTTCAGCTCTATCAGACATGTTGGAACTGAGAATGGGGAGCGATATAGACGAGTCAATTTGAGCTCTTGCGACTACAATATCTCGTACAGAGAAGCATTCAAGAATTTTGAGTCTATAACAACTGTTTCTCGACTTGCCGAGATGTATCTACCGTGAGAGTTTAACTTTGATGAGTCAATATAAAAAAGTATAGGAAAGCGAGATGTCTCCTTAAACTTCTCAACGCAATAGCAACGTTTACTTTTCAGGACTTTTAAAACCTTAGAAATTCTCAATATCGTATTGTTACTTGAAATTAAAATATTCGTTTTATGAGATATTGAATTACTCGTTTCTAGTTACAAATGATTCTATCAATGAACAAAATATTATCATTCTTTTACAGCCCGGACTATAAACTTAACTGTAAAAACTATGCAGATCGTTAAAGTTGAAAAGTTAGATTCCATACGAAATAAATATCATACAAACACCGATTATAAGCTGTATTTTTCGTAAATGCGAAGTTACTTTGATGAAATACCTTGTATAAGTAAAGATCAAACAACATCTCTCATGACTTTTTCCTTATTCGATGATCTTCGATTGCAGTACTGACTCCGCTTCCTGACAAAATTCAGTCTCTCCCCCACTCCTTCTCTTCCCAAATTTTAAAACAAATCGAGACCAATGCTCATCTACTCAACTAAAATATGTTAGCGTATGATTTGAAAAATCTTTGCTTATGTTTGTGTTATGAATTTCTTAGAACACAAAAATGAACAATAATATGCCTTGTTCGGGTTTTTATTAGAATAGAATGATGAAGAACGAATTTTTAACTAATTTTCTTACCGTCCGGCTAATGAATGATCTTCTTCCAGTTTCTTGTCAATTCCTGATCCATTTGTCCATGTACGTTCTGGAGCTAAATTGATTGTCTATCAAAAAAAAAATGAATCATTTATGAATTCTAATGAAAGACATCTTACGAATGGTTCTTGATTTTGTTTATCATTGAATTGTAATTGTCTTAAAGTATCAACATGAAAGCGATTTTCTACTCTATCTTCCTGATCTATACTCGATTGTTGTTTAATTCCACTACCATGACTGTCTTGTACACTACTAATAACAGTGCTATGATTTTGATCACGACATTGTTGTCGTTCACACATTTGTTCATCAATTTCATTAATTACTGTCGATTTAGTTTCAGCAGGACGAGCAGTCGATACAGTCTAATTGAAATTTTTGTTTTAGAAAAGAATTAATTTACTTTTAAAGAGCATCCGTAGTATCAAGATAATTGTATTTATATCAAGTAAAAGCCCTGAAGAAAATTCGCGCACATTATCTTAAATTGATAGCTGTTTTATTGAATCTGTGCTTCAGATCACTTCCGAAATCGATTCAATAGATCAGAATTTTTATCATCTCCCATTCTGAGATGTATGCAAGTTACTAGAGGAAGACTTTCTTTAAACGTACGATGAAATTCTATTGTGTATCCGGTAGGATAGCATAGAAACATGTATCTTGCTCTAGAGACCAAACAATGGTTAGCATCAATATCTGAGAATAAAACATATTGAATAGTCTAATCTTTGGTCAGAAACTGTTTTAGACTTTCTCACTTGTTAGGTATTCATTATTCGACTTACTTGTCTTAATTCAATAACTTCTTGAATCATGAAACGAATACGTGCAGATATTTTTTGTTTTTTGGCAATAATATCCAATTCACGATAATATTTTTCCAAATTATATTTCTTTGTCGGCTAAAACAAAACTCGAAGTTCAACAGTTAAACATACAAAAACAAACATACACTTTGACTAGTTCTTGTATCAATCTCTTTACCAATAGAACGTAAAAGTTGGCATAAAGATTCAAGATTTTCTTCATCGGTTTTATCACGAAGTAAATATTCAATATAATCAAATATCATAGCATTGGTTACCGTAGTTAATTTAAACAGTTCGCCAATAAACCTAAAATAGTTAAAAGATTTTATTTTTACTTGTTTTTGTCATATACAATTTTGCATTGGTAAACAAGAGAATTTTCTTAATAGTAAATCAGATTTTAACGGCAAGAAGATAAAAGTAGATTTTGATAATATGCCATCAGAAGAATCTTCATATATGAAACGAATAAAGTATTGGCTTTTTGATTAATGAGAATATTCATCGAATCGAAGAAAAAACAAATTGAAATTAATATTCCAATAAATCTTATTAGATTAAAACCTGCATATGTTCCACGTGATAGTATGATTACGAGAATATCTCAATCAGGTGAAATTGGGAAGCATCAGATTCAAGAAAATTTATGATATTCTTTGTATTTAAAACAATATGTGTCTATACAAGTCAAAGCTAGAATCCTATGGGACAGTTTCCAATTTCGAAAAATCTTGATTTTACCGTTCCTCAGAACTCTAATTAAAACTGGTTATTCTAATCATTTTTAGGACAATTTTGGAAGTTTCAGCAAAAAGCAATGATTTTTTTGCAAACCAAGCGATTAATAAGACAGTATACATTTGAATGAACGAAATCATTTGTGAAAGACAAAGCCATTGAAAAAAACGATGAGTTAAATTTCCTATGAATTTTTGTGAATTATTTTCTATGATCATACCAATCAAAGTATAATTCAGCCGAGACAACGAATATTTCGGTTGGATTAATCTCAAAAGAATAAATACTCAAATAGTTTCTCTAAGCAGGAGCTGTAAAACCTTGAACCCTAAGATATCAAGTTAGGTCACAGCAATCTAGTCAATTTATCGTTCATAGACTTTCTAAATTCATGTACTTGAGTCCATCGGGTTGAAAAATTTGAAAACCAATCCCACCTGATTGGATTGTTTTTGGATCTGAACCTGAATTTCATTGTTTATGAAACATTTTAATTCGTACTGCAAGTCTATGAGGTACTTTTTTTCGGTTATTTGTATTCGACGGCTAATAAATACAGCTCTATGGAGTAGTTCTGAATATTCCACAGGATGAAAGATCGTAAAAAATAAAGTGGGAAGAGATTCAAAATGATTGAAAAATTCTGGAAATATAGAAAATGAAATTCGAACAAAGTTTGTCTCGCAGGACTTAATCCTATGTACAAGTTTTACATTTTATAGAATAGCCCTCGTAAGAATGATTCCGAATCCTATCGAAGACATGTTTGCGTTTTTATTATTGATGTATAGTCTATAAATATACTTACAGAATATTGCCTAATTTTCTTTGTTTAGTTTTAATAAGATCTTCTTCTAATTTTTCAGTTTCTTCTCGATATATTTTCTCATCTTTTATGGCTTCGACTTCAAGTTTTCTTTTTTCATATTCAATTTCTTGTCTATAATCACTTTTGAATTCTTTTTGACAAAATATTAATAGTATTTGACGAAACTGATGTGTTTTTGATCTACCATGTTTATCTATTACATTGACATGTGTCTAGAAAGGAAAAAACAAAATAAGTTTAAACTAATGATAGAAACTACGTGAAAATATACAGTACGTTTTGAAATTGTTGACATAATTTTGCATATAGAAAACCATATTGTGGCTCATTAACAGCCTAAGAAAATAAAAAATTTTCAAAATTAAATGAAGGCTAAGAAGAAAATTTACTTTAGAGTGCAGTATCATAACTAATCCTTCTAATCTTTCGTAACAATTAATTTCTAATGCTGCAATTTTTTTTTGTAATTTTTTATATGTTTGTGATGTTAATTCATTTAATATTGATCTAACATCATGTAAAAATTTATTATCAGTATCGATTTTATTTTGATCGACTGGTCTGCGAGGATTTTCAATACGATAGCTAAAACTAGGTTCAGTTGATGAGCGAATTTCCGTTTTACTACTTGAATCGCTTGTTGAATTTTGAGTAGTTTGATCGTGTATTAATGATCGATGATTACTCGGTGATAATTGCCGAGGACATGAAGAGTTTATATGTCTTTGACTATTTTTGTCAGCATATGAATAACGCGCATGATTATCATCACATCGACAAATAACAACAGAAAGATTGGGAAGATTCTGTGGCATTGGAAGTGGCGCAAAAATATCACGAATACGTAAAAGTTCTTGACGATTATAACGTAGAGGTTGTTTGGGTGTTGCCTGAGGTTTATCATCATTTATTATTGCTATAGGTGTTGTTGTTGTTGTTGTTGATTGTGATGGTGTTACTTGTGATGTCAGTGATGTTGCATTAATTCTTTTATTCACTTCAGGTATACGATTATCAGACTAAATAAACATAGAGAAAAAAAACAATTCCGATGAATACGTGAATAAAAGTTCGTTGTCTTCTACAATGCTCAGGCTATGTAACAATGTTTTTTTTTCTAAAATAATTTATTTATTATACGTACACATCTTTTGAAAAGAAAATGAGCACTAAAGTATCGTTATTTTCGATGTCGTAGTATAATTGTGAACAAAAATCTTGAGGACGTGGATATGATTTGATGAACTTGGTTCATTTCGATATCCGAACTCGTACATCCATCAAAATCGTCAAGATACTATCATAGACACAGTCATACTTGGTGACACTCACATGCTACATCCTCACTAACATTATCATCGATTTCATTGGTCCAGTCTCAAAATTAAATCTACTTCAAAAAGATTTTGCTCATTCACATGTGATCGTTTTTTTCATGTTTGGGTCAAATATCCGCGGTGTTTTCAAATCTTAATTTCGAAGAATACGTAATATGTTCATTTTATACCTCATCTTTTCGAGTTCTGGAAGATTCGACTAACATGTCAGCATATGTTCGTGGAGAATAAACTTCCTTTTGAATATTATTTGTATCACTTGTCGATTTTGTATCCAATACAACTGAATCTGTATTTGTCGATTCATTTGAACTATGCTTAACTGTTGTTATTGTAGATACTGATGATTTTGTTGTAGCCAACACTGTCGAAGTTGTCGATTGTGCAAAAATCTCTACTGGTTTATGTGATACCGGATCGATAACAACGAATGGAGTATTTTTTTGTTTTTCATTATGCCCCGAAGCCACTGTTGATGGATATAAAGTTAGTTGTTGGTCAATCTAGAAAAGATATTTAGTTTTTTATTTATTTTTTTGTATCAGAATCAGAGATGAGCACAGGACAACTTTTTCTGTCCTGTCCTGCCCTGTCCTGTAGTCAACCTCCGTCCTGCTGAGCGGCAGGACAGAACGAAAAATGATTTAGCCTCCTGTCCTGTCCTGTCCTGCAGTCAACCTCTGTCCTGTTGAGCGGCAGGACAGGACGAAAAATGGCTTACCCTCCTGTCCTGTGCGGCAGGACAGGACAGGACATTAAGCAGGACAAACACGACATCTTTAATTTTCGACTAAGTGAAGCATACACTAAACGTTTCAGCCATCTATAGTGAGTATCAGATACAGATGAGCACAGGACAACTTTTTCTGTCCTGTCCTGTCCTGTCCTGTAATCAACCTCCGTCCTGCTGAGCGGCAGGACAGAACGAAAAATAATTTAGCCTCCTGTCCTGTCCTGTCCTGCAATCAACCTCTGTCCTGTTGAGCGGCAGGACAGAACGAAAAATGATGTACCCTCCTGTCCTGCCGCGCAGGACAGGACAGGACACAGGACGGCCGCACCGTCCTGTCCTGTGCTCATCTCTGATCAGAATATATTTACTTGTGAATGTTGAACTGTTGGAGGAATTTGTGTTGATTGTTGTGAACCAGATATTGTCCATGGTGATTGTGATTGATTAGGCATTAGTGGCGGTACTTGTGATGCTTGATGACTTGTTGGCATTGAATAAGCTGCTAAAAACAACGCAACATAGAAATTTATTTGTTTCATAAATAAAAACATTTTACTTGGAAAAAATAGTTGTGTATAAACAGTTGACGTTGATGGAGGATTAGTATTTTCCGGTGGATTTGTTGGATTCTCGTTTTGTAGCATAAAATATGAATAATTCATTTTGTCATTCGATGATCGCATAATAGGAATCGCTGAAGGATTCTATAAAGAAAGATTTATATGTGTTTTGAAAAATACCTTGTAAGATTTTATGAAAACTAACCATTGGTTGTAGATTATATGTAGGCATAAGAAAATTTTGCCGAAACGTTGAAGGAACATAAAATGGTTGAGAATAATCGTAAGGCATTTGTTGATTCATATACTAAATAAATATATAGGAATGATTGTTGTTTAAAATTAAAAGAAATTTTTCTATTTACTGGTTGAAGATTCATTAGTGGTGGATATGGTGCTTGACTTCTTACTTGTAGAAGATATTCTACAAGAAAATATAAGTTTTTATTAAAAAAATTTGTGATAGATTAATCTAACGTTGTTCCATGCCATTATTTGGCATATAAAAAACAGATGCTTGTGAATAAGATGCCGCTAGGTTAGAAGAAAATTTTTGTTCATCTGTATTCATATATTTCTTAAATCAGAGAAGAAAAGAATGTTTTTTCGTGGTATTTTACAGTTTCATTACAGTATCTTGTGTCTTTCTTTTTATCCATTTCATTTATTAATATAAGTTCAACTCTTTTTGTTTAAAAAAAGAATTTTCTTCTCTCGTAAACAATTTTGCGACTCATTCTCGGCTATTGTTTTTCGTTGCAGTCTTTGCCTAATATTCTATATCTCATCTGTTTAATTTACAACCAACGTGTACTACCAATTATGAATCGAGTACTTGACTTCTGTAAAGTGCTTCATGAATCGCTGTTTATTTTAATAGAGACTAGCAGCCTCTCCATACTATTGACTTATACTACGTAGAAATGAGTCTAATGAGTGCACCTGTTTCACATTAATAGAGTTTTCACTTTCTTGATAAAAAAAAAAGTCTTCGTTCTTATGGGTTTATATTCATAACTATCCGCTAGCCTAGCAATACTTGTTTAAGACTGATTATATAACTACTGTGTATCATGGATTTATATCAGCAGTATAGACTGTGTAAGGTTTAGTTGAAATATCGATTTTTAAGGGTTTATTAGATTTGTAGACGTATGTCAAAGTTGATTTCAATTTTAAATCTCTTTTCAAGTTTCTAATAATCCGATTCTTCAGCTTGTCAGCATTTGGAATTGTTATCTGTTGTATCTCTTAGCCAATTGCCACTGTCAACCAAACTCGCGCCCGGATAGCAAAACAAATGAGATTCTAGAAGAGATATGACCTTCGTATGAAAAATTCTATCGAAAGGCTTATTTCGAATCTAATAAACAGTATTAAAGGACGAACAGTTTCTATTGTAGTAAATAGAGTAAAATCTCTCTATGTAGGCAACTCCCTATACTGAGTGGTCGGAAGTCCGCCCAAGTGAAATTTGCTAGGAATGGGCCTCTTTAATATGGGCACCTTCTTATTCAGGATAGTAGGCGCTTATTTCCAGCCCCGTGAGCAATAACAACCTCTTTAATATGAGCAACATCTTTTCTATCACTCATGTGCAGAATAAGAAAAAATGATGTTATGTATATTGCATTATGGTAAACAACCATGGAATGCATATAAGAAGGGAATGAATCAATCGTGCATATTTAAAAGAAAAAATGGTTATTTTTAAAAGTAACACTGCTTTGTATAGCATCTCCTTGTGTTTGTATTAACAGCGAGTAACATCAAATCATGTCAACACGTGTTGATTTATCTCATTTTCAAAAAGTTGAATTAATGAAACATTCTAAATGTTGTTTATCTCAAAGACATTTGGCCGCCAAATACAAAATATCAAAAGGTGTTGTATTTAACATTTTAAAACGTAAACATGAATACTTAGGTGATTATGAATCAAACCGACGTAACGAAATAAAAAAGAAAAATTAAGAATGATATTGGAAAGAAAATTGATGATGAAAAATATGCATGAGTTGTTACTCAGAGAAAAAAATTTACCAACATTAGGTCCGATTCTTGAAGAAAAAGCAAGTTTTTGTTGCGAAAAAAGTTGCTATTCCATGAAAATATATGATTTTTTCAGCTAAAAAATTGTTGTAAAGACAAAGTTCACCCTGTACAGCTGCAGAACGATTGAAACTAAATACTTAAAGATTGCACAAAAGAAACTCAAAACCTCCAAATAATGGGCACCTCCGTTAAGTGGACACTTTCTGTCGGTCCCGATGGTGCCCACATTAGAGAGGTTTACTGTAGTAATTTATCATAGATGCTCATGAAGTAAAGTACGTAAGCCATCTTTGCAATTAGTACTGACTTGTTACTAAATGAGTGCAATATGAAATACAATTAGAATGGTACAAATTTTGTTCAAGGATATATGTTCAAGCTATCTGAATAGAATATTCTTTTTTCATTTTTATTAATTTCAATTTCAACGAAATAGTATTGCTCTATTCCTTTTTTTGGTGTTAAATCAGAATCGAATACTTCCAGCTCGTTTAAGAAATAACATTTAGAAACATTTGACAATTTTTGAAAAGAAAACCATGACATAGTTTTTTGTATTTGCATTGGGCCTTATCAATAATTGTATGCTTTAAAGTTGTTTTTCGCTACATACTGACTCAATTGAAATGAAAACCGCACATTTATAATTAATTCACCAAATTCTATCCAACTATATATTTACGTAAATAAGAAATACATGCAGTCAATTCATAGGCGACGGAAGCTGGAGGCTGGGTGAGGCATGAGCCTCACCCGAATTTGGTGTCTGGAGGCTCAGCCTTACCCAAATTATGAATACGATATTTTTTTGCACGATGGTTTAGACTTATCAAATGAATATTATTTCAGTGCGAAGATCCGAACTTCTAATATATTTATTCATATGTTGTGATCATAGACGGCGGAACATATAGGCTTGAGCCTCACCAGAAATGGGCACTATTAAGCTGAGCCTCACCAGAATTAGAATTTCAAGGATGGGTCAAATTCGAATCTGATATTATTTGGCTAGATCAACCTTAAATTATTTAAGATATTGACACTTTTTACGCGTTTATCTATATATAACGAGGAAGCAAAACTTAAAAACCGAGACGGTAATAAAGCCTACTATCTATGCCGTCATAATTCGTCACAACATCTTTGTTTTATTCACATAGAGTGTTGTACAAACCAAAACGATTATAGAATAATGCAGTCAATGTCAGAGCTATTTGTATTCAAGCGTTTATCTTCATCTTCGTGATGTATCACTCATGTCTCTATATTGAGTGAAAGCACAGTCCTAACAGAGTGTGGGTGTGGACACAGGGGAAATAACAGATTCCGGGATTCCTGGGTTCCATATGATTCCGAGGAACTCCAAGATATTTTCAAGATCTAAAAAACGGTAGAATTATTTGAGAATCCTTCAGTCTCTTTTATCATACGAATGTTTCCTGTTCAATGCTCTATAATGCACAGTGAACGACCACGGTACTACTATAAAATGTGATGTAAGCATTCACACAAGCGGTGTGCATAGTACTTAGTAATTTCGATCTTAAAAAAAGGATTACCAGACTACTGTCAATAGCTTGTATTTTAGGTTGATAATCAAATTAAAAAAGATAAATGTTAATGGAAACAAAAATGAAAACAAAACCTATAATTATTCAATAGCTGAAACCTGTGAAAAAACAATAAGTAAATCAGTTAGTAATGGTGTGGGTGTGAAAGCAAAATCAACGGTCCACATCCACACCCACACAGTGGACAGCCAGGCGACAAAATCAATTTTCGAGATTCAAACCCATATCGTAGCTAGCATTGAAGCTACTATGGTCCTGATTTAAGAGAATCTTGGATGTCGCTCTATAGCGAGTATGCATTAAATATCAGGTACCACAAAGTACGTAAAATAGGTGAATATCATTAATTAGACCATATAAGTAAAATTTATATTTTTAATTGATGATCTACTTATATTTTGTAGTCATCAAATACGTGTACAGTGTTATGTATTTACTATATATTACAGACCGTCCGGACTTCTTGAAGCTCTTTAGGCTATAATAAGATCAAAAACTTCCAATCAGTATGGTAAAAAATAGTCACTGATCCATAATGTAGTTCATTTGCTGGATTTTGACGGAGTTCAAATGGAAGTTTTAATCTATCTTTTGATAGAACGTATCATCATCTATCTTCAATAGATCCTCAAAGATGCGCCACTGAACCCTTGTCGAGATTTTTTACTTTTATGACATTTTTTAGCACACCGTCATGGTCTCTCTCAAGCTCACTGAAAAATCGACTTTCGAATTTCGACTTGAAACTTTGAGCAGAGAAAGGTCTCAATAAGACTGGTTCATTCTGAAATTCTCAAATTTCTTGGTTGCTCCTATCTTTAAATATGAACACTTAACATTTTGTGCTTTAAGTAATGTGAAAAAAAAGTACTTTTTCTTACACTCGTATCTCAAGAGAGAAGGAACCCAAAAATCTGAAACCATCAGAACAAACTAGTCTGATTGAAACCCTTCTCTGCACAAACTTTCAAATCGAAATTTGAAAGTTGATTTTCCAAGTAAATCTGACAAAGACCACGGTGTTCTGCTGAAAATTGCTGTAAAAATCAAATATCTTCATAGAAATAAGCAAGAAACACAAGTCTTTTTTGGAGTATTCATAGCTCATTAGAGCCTACATAATGCACATAGTCTCGACCCAATAGCGATTTGGCACCTGGCAATTGCTTTCGATCCCTTTTTTCTGTCCAACGTGACCCACACTCTCCAGATACCTATGCGACCCATCTCCTCAATTATTTCTATCCTATCTGATATAATCATCGACAAAAAAAATTAAAAAATAACTGTTTCTAATTTTTATAAAGGGGTTTTGCAGGGAAATCGAAAATATTTCGGCATTCCATGGGACTTCATGGGTTGCATGAGGTTACAAGGGACTCCAAAGAGTTGAAATCTGCCGTTTTCCCTTTGGGGTGTTGGTGTGGATGTCGAAGAAGAAAAGAAAATAAACCAAAGCCAACACCCACCTACATCCACACCCTTTCGTCAACGAAGACATTGATAGAAGAAAAAAGTTACTTAGGATAATAAAAAAAAGTTTTTTACTGAGCCTCACCTGATTTGGAAACGTTCCGCCGCCTCTGAGTCAATTGGAATTTCCTGCACCTTGCACTTCCCTTTAAATAGGATTGATCTATAAACGGAAAAATATTACTATCATTCTATTTAAAAGCTGAAATGTGTAAAATTGTCAGAAATAGCTGAAATATATTATATCGTCATGTAAGATAACGAAAATAATTCATGGCTATGTTTGACAATCTAAACATCAGTTTTTTCCATCTTAGTATGTCATCGAGCAATAATCCTTTTTTATTTCTTCCTTAACCTCATCTTTGTATTCTAAAGACATAATTGCAATGGAAAATAGAAATACATACAATTTAATAAAGATAAAACTATTGATTTCACAATCTAAACTCTTATTTTAGTATGATCTCTT